AAAACATAAATTTTGGATGTGTGGGGCTGTCATTGTTAGAAAGTAATAGAATAAGATAATGCTGTAATTAAAACTTTTTAAAGTGCGGACAAAATTTATATAAAAATCATAAATAGTGTATAAATAATAAAATGTAATATTAAGATCTTTTTTAGGCTTACCAAAGTATTATAAATAATAAAATTAAGGGTCACACCTGGTGTAAATTTTGAAAAAAATCGATATTTTTTCATATATTGATAGATTATACTCTTAAAAATAACAGAATAAAATTTTAAATCGATAACTCAAATTCAAATTTCTTTAGTTACAGCCTCAAAAAATACTTATTTTTTTCATCTCAAATTTTACAGTGTTTTCTTGAATATGTATAAACATATCGCTTTTTTTTAAGCAGTCACCTTTAATTTCATTTAGCTTTGTACAATTTGTCTAGAAGAAACTTCTCTTCATACTAATATGAGGATAAAATACTCAAACTTGTAACCAGTGAAAGTCTCTTTTATGAAGCATTTAAAAAATGTTTCTTTTAACATAATGTCGTTTCTCTCTTTCTAATCACTTTAAGAAATCAGCGTAAAGCCACAATAAAACAATACCCAATGCAGCTTAACTCAAATAAACTGTTAACATAAAGACCTGCTACTCCAGTAGAAATCGAAATTCACCACACTGCTGATAAGCTCATCAGCTGTTGTACAAAAGAACGCCAAAAAACAACCACCTTTGTGCGTATTGCATACTTCACAGCGTTACTTTGTGCGAATCCGTTGTCTGCGCATGTGAATAACAAACGGTAACGATAAGGTTTATTTGAAAACTCGATTGATGTGAATTTCCTTCCTTTTTATATGTGTCAACCACCCGTCTGTAACCTCAGTCTCGCTGCAGCAACCGTTCGGTGAAGTTCAACTGCGCCGCGTTACCATTGTGTTACGGCCATACGAAAGTGAACGTACGCAGATAACTGTTTAGTGAATGAGAAAGCCGATTAGCTCAACAAGTGTCGTAGCAAAAATACGATTACAAGTGATTTGCCTGAAGACAGTTAAGTGCTTGAAACGAAAGCAAGAAGAGCGAAGGCAGTGTTCTGTGCGAAATAAGAAATTGTTGAATGAGTGATGCCAAATTATTTTGGGAGTTTCTCCAATAGCCTGTAGTGAGAGCGGGTGTGTCACGCAAGTCAAAACAATAGTGGACTCCACTAACGGTATTGTGAGTGTAGCGTATTTAGTTTGTGGCGGCTCCTTATGCGAACAGGTTGTTTTGATGGGCTGGTAGGTCACCACAGGTGTTTTGTTTTTGGGGCTAACCATGCTTTATCGCTTTTTAAGCAAAGAAAAAATTAAATTAAAATTTTCAATAAAAAAAGTTAAAAAAAGTAATTTTTTGATAAATTTTTTTTAGAAAATCTAATAAATCGAAATAATCGAATTATAATCAGCGCAGTTAAAGCAACATGCATCACTTTATTAATAATTTATTTATCACTAATTTATTACAAATAACTGCTAATTTCAGCACAAGTTTTTCGTACTATCAATTTAAAGATCAAAATAGCTTAAAAGAAACCAAAAACACAAATAGCCGCATGATAACATATGTATGTGTTGCATGTGTATGAATATGTGCATGTATGTGTAACATCTACTTTCGGACTCTTTATTTGTCTCATGTGAGCTCTGCTGCAACATTCCAAAATTCTGCTCATACGTACTATTATCAGCATGTTTTTGTTGTTGTTGTTAAAACTTTTGTTGCTTTTGTTGTTGCTGTTGTTATTGTTGTTATCATATGCACTTTGTATGCATTTTGTGTGCTGCCAAATAAAATGGCACATACACAATCTGGCCACATTTTATGTTGCAATATTTTCATTTGCTTTTCGCTTCATTCATTTTATTTAGCTTAGTCTACTTATTTGTTGTTTTTTATATTTCGCTTTTGCATATCTTTTTAGTTTTGCATTTTTTTGCACAGATTCGCATTTTGTGCTATTTAATTTTTGGCTTAAAAACAGGCTGGTTGCAGCTTATATTTTTTGGTATTTCTCGTTTGCTCCGCAGTTCCGTGAAAAACGCTCGCTTTTCCAACGGTTTTTTGGCGCTATGCGCTTGACAATGCCGTAAACAAAATATAAAAGTGTATATATTTACATACATATGTACATACCTGTAAATGGTTAGCATAAATATGAACCAAAGCTTGGCAGAGACCTTAGAGTTGCTATTGTGCAATTTTATCACAAAAACCAGCCAAGCCATGTGATTGGCTATATACATATATGAATACAAGAGTATATGTATATATGTATGTACATCTGCTTTTGTATATAATAACACATATAAATCATTGCGGCCTTCATATAAAATATGAAATAGTAAATAGTGGCAGCACAGGTTATCAACAGCCCTATGTTTTAAAGTAAACTTTACTTAAGCGAAAAGAGCACTGATACATTTGTGTAACAGTTTTGAAGCGCTTAAACGTGTTGTGGGTGTTAAAAGATATAACGTTTCGACGAAATTCGATATTATTATTATATATGGGTGCCATCGCTGATTTATCCAAAATTTCGATGCAAGTTTTGTAATCCGACTTATCAGAGTCTCCATTTCAAATTGCAATACTCCACTAAAGATGCTAAGACTCGGCAAATTTCAAGATACTTTTCTTAAAGGCCAAGGGGAATTAGAACATACGCGAGACCTATTGGGTCTTTGCAGATATTGGGTGGATGGCCGACTACTGATAAAGGACAACTTTCTCTATTTGGTTATCCCACCCGATCTCATTCGTATTTAGGGACTTTTATCGAAATCATATAGTCAAAGAGAATTAATAACAGACAGAGACAGCTGTTATCTATGTTGATTTCTAATTTTTCTTGTTACTCTATATTCAATAATCACATGTTAAGCTTTAGGTTCTTTTAAATCACTTCTCTCATTAAGTGAAGCCTTGATTTGATATTCTTGTGATAGAGCAGAATTCCCTACGAGGATTACATAAGTATATGAAATTTTGATGTTCAATAATACCAGTGTAGAAAATTTATGGGGCGTTTGTCATATTTTATATTGTTTTTCATCGAATGATATTGATTGATGATTTAATTTTTATTGTAAGATAATATTATCGTAATCACAGTGCCATCTACGTTATTTAAATTAAAACAAGTAATAAAGGCTAAATTTGGGTGTAACCGAGCATTTTATACTTATGCAACTCACAAGAATGAAAGCCGGGAACTTACATTCAGGCGTTGGCAAAACTTTATATTAACACTAAGAGGGGATAAGGGAAGTATTGGGACGATTCTACCCATATTTGAGAAACTTATTGATATGGAAAGTAATCGTGGTTGTAGTCCGTTTTCGCCCATTTTCGTACTGTGACATAAGAATGTCAAAATAATTTTTTGCACCGAATTTGTTCCAAATTGGTAGAGCGCGAGTTGTCGCTTGCACGGACGGATAGATGGACGGAAAGTCAATCGGGTTACAACTCGTCTTAAAATCTTGATCATATATATGTATGTTGTATAACTCCGTATGTATCTCGATCAGTTTTAGGTGATACAAACAACCGTTAGGTTAACAAAACTATTATACCCTGTAGCAACGTGTCGCAAAAGTATATAAAGAATTCCCTTGATGTTTCTTCGTTTTTAACTGGATCTTACGTAAAAACTTATAATGTTATATAAGATAAATTTAATGTGATCCAGGAAAAACTCTTAAGTAGAAATAAAAGCAAAAATAATTTTGAGTGCTGAAATGTGTAATATGTCTCCAGCTGCCGCTAGTGGTTTGTCAACAAATTCTATAAAATTTTGACAGAACAACTTATTTGACTTTAAAAGATTTTCATTTGAGTATGGTAATTAGTTTTATCTATCATAGACATGTGTAATATTTTATAACGAATTTTAGAAAAATGGTTGTTTAAAGTATATTACTAAATTAAAAAAATAAAAAAAGTTGAGTTCAGGGGGTATTCTAGTGTAGAATTTCAAAAGAAAAACGATTTTTTTTCATATTTCAAAGTTTAGCGATTTAAGAATACATCTAAGAAAGGATTTTGAAAATTTAAATTGTTTTCAGAGATATAGACATTTTAATCACCCGGCCTTCAACTGGTTCGACTGGGCCTAATCGAACAAAAGACTTTACACGAAACTTTAAATGCGTTTTTCTCAGACCAGACCTTTTCAATACGATACCCACGATTTCTCGAGATCTACAGAACCGATTTACTTGAAATTTTCAGAGAATTTTTATAATTCTCTCGGATATGAACTAGCCTTAATCCGAAATTTAAATTTTTGCTATTTTTAAAAATACGAGAAAATTAAAAAATGGTTAAAAAACTGTTATTTTTTCAAACAGTCGCTATTTTGTCAAACATTTTTTTTTTTCCTTATCGCTAGTTCATACAATTGCGACATCATTGCAGACTGATAATCTGTTTTTTCATTCCGATGACTAGAAGGGTTGAAATCATGGGTATGCACATGTGCCAATTTTTTGATTCATCAGCTGACAGTTTTTTAAATTTTTAACTTTTGTTTTTTTAATTGTTTTTTGTTTTCTTGAGACATTAATAAATAACTGATAAAAAATTCGATAGTAAAAATATTGATTGCCCCTTTTACGATACTTTAAAAATTACCTAAAATTCATGTCTCTAGACTAGAATACCCCCTTAAGTTGTTTTGTCAAATTTTCACATAAATGTATAAACAATTCAATTACCAGCAATCAGCGCTCTAGAAATTCACAACTGGTTCTGTATTCATTACTTAATATATTCTTAGAAGTCCACTACAATTTATTTTCCTTAACTTAAATATCTCGAGTAGCTTTCGAAGAAGTTCTTGCATTTTTAGCTCAAAAGCATCTTGAATCCATAATTCTTTTCTTTAGAATAAGAAACAAATCACATGAAAATTTCCGCAAAGACTATGGCTTATACTCTTCACTTCTCTTCATTTGCAGATTAACGCAGAGAATACTTGAGAGCATTGCTAAGCGGGTCGACAACTACTCCAAATTCGACGTCGAGCGCAACAAGAGGGCTACTTTCCATAAAAGTTTCGGACAAACTGCCAATAAAGTGAAACTTTTTTCCTTCAGCACACAGAGTACACACACAGCCACAGATACACAGTGAATCAAGTGAACTACTCAGACCGGTTATAGTTGATCAATCGTTGAATACTTTGTGGCAAGTGACTGAAAGTTGAAGAAGAAGAAGAAGGGAAAAGAATTTGCAGAAATTGTGCAACATTTGAAGTAATTAAAATTGAGTTTCAAAAGTAAAATCGGCAAAAGTGCATCCAAAAAGGAAGTAAAAAAAAGAAGAAGAAAAGAGTGACAAAAGTTTACAGTTGCAATAACAACAGCAACAAAAGAAACTAATCGATAATCGAAAAGTAAGTTATAGAAAAATAGAAAATACAAAAAGTGCAAAACCTAGTTGCAACAAGGGGCGCGCGCATGCAACATTCCGGCCGCGTGTGGCAGCGGCAGCGTCTCTGCTGTAGCACAGTGCAATCGAATAATTAATTCAATGCACTTAAAATTGCAGTTTTTAACTTGAGAAACGAGGAAATCGCATTTGGCCCAAAACTGCTACAGATATACTGGCAACAACAACAACTACAACAAAAAAGAACACAAATAATAATCACAGTGAACGAGTGGCAACACAAAACTAAACTAAAAGTGCAATAAAAGAAAATAAAATAAGCGAAAGAAAAGAAGCAGAGAGTAGAGAAAAGCGTGGCAAACTTAGCGTGACAAAGTTTCATTTGTTGGCAAATTGAAGCGGCGTGCAGCCTGCAACAGCAAGTGAGCGATCTTGGCAAGAGGCAGAGGAGTGAATGCGTGAGCGATCGTCTGCTGTGTGAACAACAAAAATGACGTGCGCCGCTCATAGACTAAATTGCATAAATTTACAAATACAACAACAAGAACAACAACAACAAAGAGTTGGACATTTGGCAGCATCCACCAACGGTTGCAACAACGGCAGCGAAAAATACGCTAAAGTGAAAAGTTGCAAGTTGATGTCGACGCAACAGCGTGCCACACGCGTACACGCCACACCCCACCACGACCAACACCAGCAGCAGCAACAAGAATTGCGTGCAGCTGGCATAACTTGTAACGGTGTTAGTAGCTGCAACACAGAAGAATTACTTGCAGCACAAGAAAAACACAAACAACAACAAAAACAAACACACAACTCCACCATCACCAAAATGTATGACAACAGCAACTTGCAACACTCGCTTGAAGAAGTGGAAAAGAGGAAGGATACTAACGGCGCTGCCACCAAAACCGCCGCTACCATCACCACCACCACCACCACTTTCAGCACAAATGCAAATAGCGTCCAATCACGGCGGCATCAGGTGCAACGGCATCAACAGTTCACTTCGGTGTGCATGCCGTTGGGTGAGCGCAATAGCAACAACATCATAACAGCACGAATGCATAATGGTTGCAACAACAACAGCAATAGCAGACAGCAACAACAACAGAAAATGAATTACAATTATACAAAATCCTTCGCTGGTTACACACGGCTCTTGAGCGTCCTGTTGTTGTTCGCCTTGCAGCATTTTCCAAGCGGTAAGTGATGTTGGCAATACATATAAAACTTACGTAAGAATTGTTAGCAAACTTTTGCCAGTTTTATTTTATTTAACACCTGCTAATTTTAAATTCCAAAAAAGAAAGAGTTCTCTCTCCAGAAACACACTCTCTCAAGTCTTTTTTCACCAGTTCTGCCAGAAGTTTATCTTCTAGCATGCAATATCTGAATTTGAATAAAAAATTTGCATATTTTCGCTATTTTAATAAAAATCTTTTAAAAACTTATCTTAAACTTCGTCTGGGATGGCATTCACTGTCTTCAGCGAATTTAGACTCTTTCGGTTTTCACATATTTTTGGAGTACCATTCGCATACTCATAAACCCACGTCTTGTTACCAGTAATGGTGCATTTGCTGAATATAGGATTAACCTAATTATCAAAAATCTTTCTTAAAACCTCTACTCGACTTCGTTTTTACAAAAGACTCATGTCTTTCGATTAGAATCTACCATTGACACGCTTCATACCCAAAACATTAAGCCAAAAGTGTTGACTCGCTCTACAAGAGGTGTTGAAGTCCTCAACTATTTCTATAATGCCAACAGGACGATTTTCAAGCTCTGTTTCTTTAACTTTTTCGGTGTTATCATCATTGACAGAGGTAGGTTCGCGACTCGCATGTGGCAAGTTTGATTTCACGACCTTCATTGACTGCTTTGCGCCACTTAAATACTTGTGTTCGTAATAAAGTAAACTCCGCATAACACTATTGCAACATTTTCAACGATTCCGTAGCTGTGATTCCATTGGAAAAATTTTCAAGCAATCTCGTTGTTAAAACTTATTTTGCAATGGTAAAAATCGCCAAACAAACTTTTCGCAGCTGCCAAACACTCACGAGTTTACATATGTAGATCAAACTTTACACGAACATAAAGAAAGCTTGTAGCAATCTAGGAAAAAAATTTTTATTGGCTTTATTTGTAAGGCCAATACTGCTGATTTCAGTATTATTTTGTCCGACGCATTTAAAGATTCTTTAGGCAGATTATTTTCCTCGTGGATCTCTAATTCAGAATTGTGGAAAATATACATTTACAATTTAGTTGAAATAAGAGATCTTTGATTTATGATTTGGTGCACATTATTTTTTTTATTTAGTTTTGTTTTTAATGCGTAGGTTTTAGTTTTGCAATTTCAAAAATAAGTAATTGTGATTTCTATGTGTATTAACTGAAAACAGTTTTCAAGCTATCGATCTGCAATTTTGCACCTGTCCTTTTCTCAACAAGAAGCTGCTCATTTGTCGGAACCGCCAATATTGGATCACTATAGGAAACACTATGGGAAACTTTTATATTTCACGTAATATCTTCACGAAATTTGGCATAAGTTATTTCTCATGACAACAATGCAATCTTCGAAGAAGTTTTTTAGATCGGAATACTGTAGCATACGGCTGGCATACAAACTGAACAATCGGAATCAAGTGCTTTTATGGAAAACTCTTTCATTTGGCGAGGTATCTTCATGAAATTTGGCATGGATTATTACTTAAGGCAACAATAAATTAAGCGAAGAAATTGTTAAGATCAGATCACTACTTGTATATCATATAGCTGCCGTATAAATCGGAATCAAGTTCTGTGAAGGGTATTATACAAGTAGCTACGGTGCAACCGAAGTTAACGTTTTTTCTTGTCTTATCTAATTTCACTACCGTATAATTTATTTCAACGATGCGCATCGAAGGAAAATGACTTGTCACTATAACCAAATGCAGTTAGTCACTCAATAATTATGACAATTTCTTTAGAATAGTGTCAGTTGAAAATACAATGTTTTTAGTAGTTATAGGGACCATACAATTACACAAACTAGTTGTCGATGCTCTCTAAACTAATAGCTGTATCGCCTAATCTTCAATAATTTGCAGAGTGTATTACCGTTTAATTTAGTTTTTGTGAAAAATTTGTGCAATAATTCCAGGACTACTAAGTTCTAAGCAACAAGTTTTATTGCTATCAGTAATGTACTCAATATTTGAAAAAAATTCTAATACACAAAATTTTACTTCTACATAAAAAACTAGTATAAAGAAATATCAAACCTAATTTTTTAGTCCCTGTGCGCTTTGTTGGAGCTATTCTTTCTTGTCAACTCATTTTCTTTGAAAGCAATAATCGAGCTTTCAAGCTGAATTTATCATGATACTAGATTGTTTAATTCACTATTCTTTAAAGTTTGCCAAACCGAATACATCTAAGAATTATAGAGAGTAATGTTCTTTAAAAACATATTCTACGTTCTAGATTTATTACGAGTTCTAAAATTTCAGTGAAAGAGCCAGAAGTTGTTCATAAAATGCGTGAGCTCTCATATCTCTCTTTGACAGCATTCATAAATACAGATTTAGAGCTTTGTTAATAACGACTTATTCAACTTTGATTAATTTCAAAACTATTTTATTTATTAAACTGGAGACTTTAAACTGAATATTTATATGACCAAAAAAATGTTTCATGTCTCAAAAAAAAATGATCAACCAAATATTTATGTGAAAAATCATCTTATATTCAATAATCAAGGACCCAAATGCAACAAAAAATCAGAGTTAACTTGTTTGCGAATGTAATCGCCTATAGATTCTGCATATTTACTTCCCAACTTCTGGTTCACTTCGCTCACACTCCGTTGTGAATGTGATTTCTGACAGCCGTCTTACTACCAGTTGTCTTACGCAAAACCGAACAGTAACAAAGCGATAAACATTAAAATTAATTTTGCAATCGCAATCTGCAGTTTGGTTCCAGCAGCGCTTACGCTTCCCTGAAATACACTACTGTGCCTTCGTCTGCCGGCGGCGTTCTTTTACAGTTCGTCAACTATGAGTGACCGTGCGAGCAGTGGATCATAGAGGAAATGATATTGCGGTTTGGCGAAAGTTGTCTTTTTTTTTTTTTTTTGTTTTGGCACAAAACGGATGTTTTGCGGTGGTGGAGCTGCCACATAATAAAATCAACACAAAAGGAAGTTGCAACATTTATTGCCAGACTACGCGTGTTTGGCCTGCTTGCTACACGCTAGCCATTGCAAGTATTTGAATATGCAACAAAGGTCGATCAGCTCTAAGCGCCGCTGCCAATGCTGGGCGACGGACTCAAGAAGCGCTGCAAGCAGTGTCTATTGCTATCGGCATTGCGCAAGTTATTTGTGGTTCATTATGCAATGTTGCAAAGATTAGGAGTATTCTCGTTGAAGTTGTAACTGTTATTATGCCGGCGAAGGCTCGTCATCCCGAGTGCTGTTGAGTCATAGGCACACTGTGACAGAGTTTGAGTAGAGTGAGTACTCGGACGTAACGCGAAACAGGAAATACATTGGAGTTGTTGTAGTTTTTGCTGCGCTTGTTAGCTATAACGGGATTATTGTTGCGTACATTCGATATCAGCGCTTGTTAGCGGTTGGCTTGGTCATGGCAAGACGTTTGCTTGGCAGCATGTTAATGTGACCACAAGCAACCCTTCGTCGAGCTCGCCAAATTCCAAGCTGCATAGTCGAGTTGCCCAGTTGATTGGCATTAAAGTGGTTGCCGCGTTCTTTTTCTCCCACTCTCTTCAAATTGTCATCATTGCTGATGTGCTCAGTCGAAGTTCGTCTAGTGCCGCAAGCTTTCTTTTCTATTTTGTACGCTCTCGTCTGATTTGGAATATTCATGAACAAAGTACGAAATTACTTTCTTCACAATACAAAGAAGTATTGCCGGCAGCTTTCGCAAAGCCGCAAATACAAAACCGCCAATGCTTAGCGGAGGCAGGAATATTGAAATTTCTCGGTACACTTGGTCAACTTTTTTTCTCAGCAAATCCACACCGCTTCTCATTTTTATTGCATTTTTGCTTGAGTCGCTTGCTTCGGCGTTGGTATTTGCGCGGGCGTCGGTGGCGCGTGCTTTAAATTCATCGGTATGTAGACGCGGCGGCGCTTGAGAGAGTATGCATACCAATAACTGCCAGCGCGCGAACATTCGAAGACAGCAAATTTTATTTTAATTATTGCGCCCTCACTACTTCACTACTATTTTGTGGCAGTTAGTTTTCCATATAAATGTCGGAAAAGTTTGCGCTCAAAGGCGGTGCTGGACCAAGCTAAGCGACGCGAAGTTAAGTTGAGTCAATTTATTTGGAGTGGAGCTGAGCAGAGTGAACGCCAGCGCCTCAATTTTGTTAGCGCGCTAATGCCTGCTGCATATACAAGGCTTTTGCATCTAATGCTTGTTGTTGGGTTGCAACAACTACTGCTAGCAGTTGTGAGCTGTCATTATACCACTCGCGCCGAGTTAAGCGTCCTTCAAGCACTTGAAGCTTCCGCTGTTTGTTGCACAGTCTTCAGTCAGCGACCTCGACGCTTCTTAGCAGCTGCCCTGCGGCTATAAGTGTCTGCAGCCGCAAAGTATTTGGAGTTTGTCCGCTGTCGGCTGCCAGCTGCTCGTCGGCTGGGGTTTCCCAACAGCTTTACATCGAAATGACCGCATAAAAATAAAAAGCAATTAGTAAAATTAATTGCTCAAGTTTCGTTTTGAAATATTCAAACTGCCGGATTAATTTACTGCAGTGCCGGCGCAAAGCCGCACATACACACCGATACCCAATGGCTTAGCAAGTGCAGACGACAATGCGGTTGTGGCATTTTGTGGTTTTATATGCGCGCTTTTGTTGCGAGAAATATTTTCACGTCTTTGGTGCCTCGCTTCCTTTTTTTATTCACGAGTTCTATAAATACTTCACATTCCCACTTTATTTAGTGAGAAAAGTGTGTGACACAAAAAGTGGAAAAGAGTGAAACAGCCATATGCTGTGTGTGCGTGTAACGGTTGAAAAAGCTTCTGGGTGCTACCGAAAGTTTGTTGGAAATTTAATCAAGATGTCGAGCTGATGCTTTGAAATCTTTGATAAGCAGATCCATTTCATTGAGTGGCAGTTAAATCCTTTTTGATATTTGACAAGGAAGTTCAGTTTTAAGTCTAGTTGCGTT